GTTGTTGGGATTTTCAAATTTTCTCCCTAAAGTGGGGGGCCGCTGAAAAGAAATGAATATATTTTGATTAATGAAATCAAAAACTCTCTGTAACTATTGTGATAGCTCATGTCCTCATTTTTCAAGAAAAAATAATGAAAAATAAACATGTTCTTCAGTTGGAGGTTTATAAATGGAAGGTTTTCCCAATCTGAGTTCATGACATCTTCAATATATACAGCCAGATAAATAAAGATATATGGACTTTTTAAGGTGAACCCATTTCAGATACAAGGACATTTAGATAAAAGACATTGGACATTCTTAGTTTCCAATCTTTTATGTGTTATTTTGTAGATTTTTTGGTAGGATTTCACCGAAGTCTGTATCAAACATGGGCATAGTCTCAGTGAAGTCACACAGAAGCAGGTTCATGGAGCAGCCATATTGGAAAATGCTGATTCAACCTAACTATCAATCAACTTAGAAACAAACTAAAGGGTGGAGTTGAGGCAGGAGTTGGCCATCATCTTGCCGGTCTGTAACCCTAACCTGAAATTAAAGAAATCTTTACATATCCATGAACCAAAATATCTTCAAAATGAGTTATAAAAAATTTCGACCTCATGAACAGTTGGACAAAGAAAAGAAATAAGACACTCAGATTAAAAACATGTTTTTAAACCATCACGTCAATATAATCAACTTGCTGTAAAAGAGGGCATTTTGACATGGGTGTTATGGGATTCTTTGGCTTCTGCAGCCAGCCTCAAGTGGACACCCAAGGAACTGCAGTTATTTTGCACTAGGGCACTGGCTTCCTTTTCAGACCCTTAAGATTGTCACGTGATATTTACATTTAGGTCTTTGGTGGGACCAAACGTCTAGGAAACTTATAGGAAAATATGATGAACAGTTTTTATAATTTTCTAAATTTTGCCATCAGGAATGAAATTACAGAGTCAAAAAAGAAGTCTATCTCTGATGTAACTCCTGCAGCTTTAGAGAGGAAGTGAGAATATGCCGTTGAGTGGAAACCTCCCTTTAATCATTTATCTTCCAAGTTCGAGTTAAATAAAGCAGTTAAATGCACTGAGGCATCAAAAGTGAAAGGGCTCACTATGGACTCTTTGGACCCTCAGGAGTGTTGATTTAAATATGCAATTTCAAAGGCAAGTACCAAAAGAGAGACAAATGTAGTGCAGCGAGGACTTAGACATTTACCTCTGTAGTGTGGTTAAGTTTATGCACATGTTCATGCGGGATCGGAAGCCTGGGGTCAAGGCCTGCTACTATTACAGTAAATCAGTAAACATATTTGCCAGGACTGCTGGGTTCAATGATACATGAAGCTCTGCAGGTTCGGCCAGGAGTTATCAATCACCCATCTATCTATCCATCCTCGCATCAACAGGGGGACTGACACGCTTTATGTATGCCCTTCATCACTAATCCCTGCCACCATAATTGAGGCCTTTTCAGTCAATAGGAACCCAGATCACCACGACCACATCCAGCCGTCATCTGTCAAGTCTCTGGATGGAGAAAGTAGTTTGTCAGACTGATCTAATGACCCGCTGTTGCTGAAGCTCGTCAAAGTGCATCATCAATAACTGGAAGCATGGATGCCTCCGAAAGGCCAAAAGCATGCAGCTATTCCCTGTTGGAAGATAATCACTCTTTAAGGAGATTATTACTTCACATTGCTGGGCTGGTTTGTTTGCTAGTTTGCTAAGTCCTTTATTGATGTTGATATCAAGCCATAAAGCTTTCATATTGTTTCACATCTCTGCGCCGCTCACCTGAACATGATATACGACTGACCTTCTGCAGAGTTCTGTTTTCCTTGACACAAATTTGGTTGGCATGTCTCAATGCATTTTGACAGACAGGTGCGCTCAGGGCTCAGACTGTTATGCCAGTACAGTTTATCTTTCAACAGAGGACTCTCCAGTTGGCGAGGCTATATTTTTTCGTTTTGCCAGTTCATATCTCATGAAAGTCAACGGTGCCCACCTGCCCCTCAGTGCAGGCCCTCACAGATGATTCCTCCCATCACGAAAGATCTGATCCAGAACATGGCATGCTAAACAAATCATCCTTTGGTGGAGCCGTCTGATGTAAGCCAGAAAGGTAGAGCTTGGGAACAAAAAATAAATAAATCTGTGCCTTGGGGTAATTCATCTCCACAGACAGATTTACAATTGTGAGACGGCTTAGGTGAGAAGTCGGTGAAGGAAAATCCTCATTTCGTTGAAAAAAAACCTCACAACTCTCAAATTAGCTTCTACATTTATGGCATTTGGCAAACTGGAACTTTCCACTGCCCAGTTTGCTTAATTAAGGCGACGGCACAAGGCCAAGTGTGAAGTCATTAAGCAATGATCTGATCATCCCAAGGAGGTCACCATCGAGTGCCCTACAGGGAGTCGCCTCAATCAATTAATTAATCTTTTATTTATCGCCCCAACCAAGGACAAAATGATCTCAGGACACTTTCAAAAAAAGGGGGGTCTACAGTCTTTTTTATATCACCTACAGAGACTCAAGCTTTAGGCAACAGAAGCCCCTGAAAAAAAACCTTCGCCCAGGCAGAAACCTTGAGCAGAAATGGATTGATTGATGGACAACCATCTGCTACGACTAGATGAGCCAAGGAAGTGGGATAGAGAGTGAAACAGAAAGAAAGAGACAGAAAGAGAGCAAGGGAAGAGACACAGACAGACAAACTGCTGTGCTGGACAAATAAGCTTCAACACACTCCATTCAGCATATTAATACAGAACACAATAGGCGGCTCAACTTCTTATTAAATACTGAATTGTGTCTTTTATTACAGAAAACGCTGAACAAAAGTGCTCACATTGTCAGAGGGCCATTTCACTGCACTCCATTTCTAAATGGGGCATCTGCTGCATACTATCCCTTTAGCAAACAGGTATTCTACAGGCAGTAAGCACAAATAAGGCACAGATATTGTGCCATTATTGTTTATTATAGGCTATATTTGCCTGAAGCTGCACTATGACTAGGTAGCAGAGCGTGCGTTTGAGCCACTTGACATGAGGCACTACTCCAAAAGAAATAAAGGTATTTCAGTGCTGCTTTTAAAGACAGGAGCTTCCCTTAAAGAGGTTTGACAGAAGTCTTCTCTGAGGAATGGGGTACTTTTTTTTCCCCCAGTTTGAGTGAAACTCTTGTTTACAGTGATGCCAACTGTCAGGAAATGTTGTGCTGACTTAGTGTAAATGACGGCGCTCTGTAGTGTCGTATACAATTACACAGCAAATGTACTGATATTTCTGTGGACGTTTTTATGCTGAGTTTCTCCTTGGTTTATCCCATCACTGGCAGGCTTTGTTAATATGCGCACATTAGCCAAATAGCTCATAAAATAAGACAACACACAATAAGTAAGTTTGGAAGAGAGAAAACCAAGGACGAGTACACATTCTGGGGGATTTGGCACATTAACAGACACGATAAAACTACTAAATGTTTAAATTTTGCCGTAATCAAAAGGACAAAACTTTTATAATAGACTCCTAACTAAATCACAGCTCCTCAGTTGTATCTGCTGTGAGCGTACACTCTTTCTCCACGATTCAATACCCAAAGGAAACAAAAGAGCTCATCAAGGCTACACAAAATTAAAACAGATTGAGAAGGGTGATAAAACGGCTCCAAAATATTCTTGGAAAACAACAACAAAAAACAATGTCCCTCCAATTTTTGGAAAATATATTATTTTTCTCTGTGGGGATATCGCAGCTTTGGCAATTAGAGTTTGAATCGTTTTTGGTTGAAGTCCAATGATGCACTTATTGTATCATTTTGTATGGATGTAAAAATAAACTTGTACTATATAGTTGGTGCTTGAAACAGGTGCAGGGAGAAGCGTCTTATCTCATAGAGGCACACATGCTGATTTGATTAGATATCTGCCCCAGATGGATGGACGTTACATGAATAGAGACTGAGAACGAGCAACTGCTCACCCGAACAAGAAGCTATAGCTATGACATGCAAATTATATTATGCTAATCTCTGCTACACTCAGCATGGCCTTCCAGTGACTGCATGCAACACATGAAAATTTCATGTCCTGCTGGGGTTTTTTTATTTTTTTTACAAGCTACTAAACAGCAAGTCTGAGTGTGGACACACAGGAGGGTACAGAAATCAATCCAAAGAAACAAGGCCGTAAACCTCCTCCAAAATGAAGTATTACCGAAATTAACTCACTGCTGGAAACAGTAGAGTTGCGAGGGCTCTCGTAATTAATCGCCAAACATCAGTGAACAATTTGGAGCCGAGGATAGAGACACCCGATAGATGTTGATCTGACAGATAGATTTTCTGAGCCAGGCTTTGAGCTCTGTGTCAGCAAGAAAACTCACCCTGCTCAAGTGTCCTTCTGCTCATGTATGTGTAATAATGTGCTGATCAATGGGGCTGGAGTGCTTACTTAAGGGAAGCACAGCCAAATACACCAACTCCAATGCACAAACTCTCCGTTTAACAAGGTTATCACTAGGTCATCGTCAAATCATCACTTTGACAGTTTTCCGAATTTCACATCAACAAATCAGATTTTGTTTATATCAAATGCACATTGTCTTCAATTACTTTAATAATGAAGCTATTCTGCATCCATAACATTTAGCACAACTTGATCAATAACTATTTATGCCCCTTTCTTTTTTTTTCTCAGCAGCAGCTCAAATCTATACTGAGGCGAATGTGCTGCTCAGTATTTCAGAGTGATAAATCTTTAAAAAGGTGTCTAAGACTCGAACCGCAATAATTTGCAGCTTTACACTAATACGCTGTGACACAACAAAAGATAAACCTGCTAGGTTGTTAGTGTTTGAAAAAAAAATAGAAAAGCCCAAGGCGGTGAATTATCAGTAAGTGAATCATGTGTGCACATTAGATAAATATCAAATAAACACATGCACCAGAGAAGGCATCCAAACTGGGAACCTATTTTTATGTATTGGGGCCAAATGCGTTGGATTTTTCTGTGGCTGCTGTTTTCTTTCAGGTCCCTGAAGCTGTGCATGTTTGCGATGATCAAGTAGGGAGAATAATACGAATGCAGCAGAGAGGCAGCAATAACAGACTTAAAGATTAGGTGGTGAGATTTAATCAAGGCCGTTTGAATTTTTCCACCATTGTTTGTTTGCGGGCTCTGACAGCAAGAAACTCGGCACCTCGGTGTTCAGTGGTTTTTTGATTATGGATTGAATGACAAGGACTCAGTCCGCAGGGATCTACTTCAGTTCCTCGTGACTCTTAGGCGGTGAAAAGAGCTCAAAATTAACCATGGCCTGATTAGTTAATGGCCACAATTTTCTGCACGATGGTGGATCACAGAGGTCATGCAGTGTTAATGACACGGGTTACTTGATTCCCTCATTATAGAAATAGAAATATGCCCATAGAAGTGTCCCCTAATTTTAAAGGCTATTTACCTTTGAGCTAAGGAAAAGAGATATCAACTTGTACTCAATTATCTTTTCGATCTGTCCTATGGAATTATAATTTACATTTAACCATCAAGAATCGATAACAGCCACCAAATCTAGAGGTTTTGATGTAAAATTCATTACTCTACATAAGGCCAAAGAGATAATATGATAGACTGTCTTGAAAAGTGGACTAAGCCACTGAAATATCATCTACCGGTTTCTGAACCCCATTTGCTGAAGTCCTGGTTTGACATTTTTGACATTTAAGCTGTTGCTGTCTTGATTTTGGGGAACTTGGCTTATAATTTCAAGTCAAGTCAAGCATCCATACTAGTTTAAGTGCTGCCCAATAACGGATAAAAAAAGGATTAAAACCCCCATAAAAAAGCATCAAAAGGTAGCAACTTGTCAATCCCACTCAGCCATACCCTGAGGTATACAGTTTATTGATTGAATGTCAAGTTTATGTACAACTTGAGATGACTATCTCTCAAATCAACATCATGATGTGTTGAAGAAGACTGAAAAGTGTTGGTTTGGAAAATAAGTCAGCAGAAAAATTCGGAGTGAAGTAATAAGTGCTCTTACTGTCTCCACACACCAATAATTCGCACAAATGGATGACATGTTTAGGCAATGTAAAGACGCAATTAGAAGCTCCTACTATTCTGGCAGTGCAAATGACGAGATTGGGGCAGGAGCTGAAAATGTCTCAACTTGAGTGGACATTCGATAACTAATCAGCACAAAGGTTGCCAGGTGAGGTATGAAAATGGACGGTTGGTCACTGGTATCTAAAATAGAGGACAAACTGATCGTGTCGGTGTGTGGGTGCCCCAATTTATACGCTACCTTTTCTTTCAATTACTGAAACCAGAATAAAAAGGAGCTTGCCTTGAGGCAAGTCAGTGAAGAGGTCGGATTACATGGTAAATTGTAAAAGACCTTTGCCTATCACTTGATCCCGCCGGTTGAATTGGCAGGGATTACCAGTGAATTCACCATTGAGGTGCGAATGAAGCGAGTAAATACTCTTCATTCACGCGTCTAGATTCTAGCGAATTAAGAGAGTAGATGATTTCACTCGAGCTTGGTTAGGATTAGAGGTTAGGGCTGTCACTTTTTATGAAAATCAAGCTTGAACTAATCCAGAACATGACATCCTGGTGTTCAAATACATTCAAATACCCTCTAGTACATTACAGACAATAAGTGCGCTATGATATACATCTGATTTTGAGTATTTGCATAACACTAGATGGCACTTTTCAGATGATGTAGTAATTGTCTGCTTAGGACAGTTTGGCTTACACATGTTCTCCAGTTTTATGGAAAAATATCACTGTATTTACTTCCTGAGGGTCACCAGTGCATGCATAGTCAGGTTACGACGAGAGTGCCCTCATACAGGATCACAGGGCAAACTACTTTGAAAGGGCTGATTCGCTGCTATACTAAAATCTTACAGCTCAAATATGAACTCTTACCCCCAAGTGTGAATGAAAGCATTTATTTGTCGGTATTTTTGCAACTACTGGAGTTCCCCCGGACCACAGGCTCAAGGCATTCCCCTGCATTTTCCACACTTTGGACACTGAGAAGCTTTGTCCACTTTTTGGATACAGTCTATGATGGATTTGCTGTGTTCAAAATGATTAGACCAGATGGCGTACTGGTGTGGTACACTGATGCGTATCCACTGAAACACTTCCAGATCGCAGAACTTTCCTGGAACAACATCCCGACACACTCGGAGATAAAAATATGGTCAGCTACAAAATATCATCCGCAGTCTCTTTTGTTATTGCTCTGGGGTGCTAGATTATGCATGCATCTCTATTAAAGCCAGGCGTTCAACCAAACAGAGAAAACACAATGTGAAGGTTGAGGCTCTTAAGCGTTCACTTCACTGGAATAGTTAATGCTTCAGCAGTCTTCCAGCCTCTAATAGGCAGCAGAGTTAGACATCTCAGGCTGATGAAAAGCCCGCCGTACGACTTTCTGACAAACAAATCAATATGCAAGGACAAAATGATCTCTCATCACAGTGGCATGTTCAGTAGGAGTAATTCATGGCGGCATTATCTTTTTCCTAATGCCTCAGTGACGAATGAATAGTGGATTAAATGCACTACACTCTGTCCGAGGCTTCTAAGTTTAAAGATGAGGCCTTAAAAGGACTAGTAGGACCTGTGGTAGTGAGCGCTGCACAATAATATATCGTTCTTATGCATTATTTAAAGACACTGTGGGAAAGATAGTGTTCATGTGCGTTTGAAATTCGCTATGAGTGCTTGTATCTCTCTAAATTGGCTTTCTCAGGAGAGCCAAAGGAAATGCTGCTCTAGCAGAAGATATTGATCAATATGACCAGATGCAGCTACTGAAAGCATGATCTAAATCAATGTCACCTTCAAGTAAACAGCACAAGAAGACCATAAGCTGCAGTTTAAGACATCACTGTGAGTTTCCCCATAACGCCGCACTTAGCCGTTGTGTCTTGTTTACATAATGATATCACGTCACTTTATTTAAATGACCGTATAAAAGCTCTGACATACAGTGTCAGGGCCAGCGGTTTGAGGCTGACACAGCCGCAGAGAGACCGCACAACAGGCGCTCTTCAGGGAGACAGATGCCACCAACGATTTTCTTACCCGTGTCAACACAGAGAAAGGCGACTGGCTGATACCGCAGTGAAGATCTGAGGGGATAAGAGTATACTGAAATGTAACACACCAGTACACTTCGAATGATCTGCAGCAGGTGATAGGGTTGCTCCCAGTTTCGTAAGGACTTTAGCCGATCTACACAAGGTGAATATGTTAGGATTGTAATTCCTGCTTACCAACAGCTGGATGCTCAATATCATAGCACAACCTGTGTCGTGCCCCTGGGAGAATTAGCTTTCTAACCTCCTGCAGATCTGTGCAAGAACAGCTAGTCTCTAAAAAGGACTCTTCAATACACCCAGCCCCTATTGTACATTCTGCTCACGCCCTGTTGCTCCATTTTACATGAGGCTCTCATCATGAGGCGCAGAGCAGGTCAGTCCGTAAGCACCGGCGCTTCCCATGCTCACCTGTTTTATCCATCATTGTCCAAGACAAACAACAGCGACTTAGCTGCGGCTGACGGGCACGCCTCAGGCACATGTTCATAGTCTGTGACAATAAATGACGCTTTTCCTTACTCAGACGTACTGCTCAGATGTGTGAGGGGTGAAAAGCCTCTGAGATAAAAGGAGCCATGAAGCAATCAGTGCTTCCAAAGGTTACAGAGTCAGAATACGAATGGCTCCCTGCACTTTAATGTTTCAAAGGTTTGGGGGAATTTGCTGCTGCTTTGCTTTTAATGCAGTTCTGGGCAATTTATCTCTTTTCAATCTTCTAAACACTCGCAAACAAGAGTGTGCAAGCGTGATTCATTGACTGTATAGCATTTGTTGTGCAAACAGAGTCACTTAAAGGCAAATATAATGTTGTTCATCCCACTATTTCTTCAGCACTGTTTGTCCTGTGTTGAAAATGGAGGGCGACAGTGAATCCTATTATAAAACCGGCAACGGGAACTGGACACGAGTCTGACACAGGCTAATGGAGTCACATTCACCTTAAACCGAGGGTTCAGAGTCTACAGTGAAATCTAACATTAGTTTGATTTACTCACTCTCATGCACAGGAACAGTGTGAGCTCATTAATGCAATCAAACCCGAGACCGTCATGCTTTGAGGGGATATTATGCCCTACTTGCCGCACCAAAGTATTTTGCGTCTCCTCGAACAAAGTCAAGTTATCTCTTCTTTCTTCCTGATGAGTTAAGAGACAGGGTCATCTATACTGTACACACATATAAGTAACACAGTAACCTTTTAGTGTAGTATTTTAGAGCTCTTACCTTTCGCTCCCATTGAAATTCATAATGCAGTAAAGTTGGAAAGTGTTTTATGCCTCTTGAGGCCTGTGTGTTATTTACTTCCAGTGTTCAGCGCTCAGAGTGCACCTTTGCTTTTTTTCCTGACGCTTTATTACCGGCTAACTTGAAAAATGGATTCTTAGGACAGCCGTGGTTAAATTGCTTCAGTGCATTGGTGGCTACTCCTTTGATCTTTTTGGCTACTTGTAATTACGCTCTTCCCCCACGTTTTTCATGCGTCTTGAGCGCTAAATAACTCGACTTGCCTTGGGAAAGACATCGCTCATCCTGTCTACTGATAACAACTTAATTACACTTGACTGGTTTCACTCTGCATGCAAAGTCCAGAATTCGAGAAATTAAAGTTTGGGCTTGTAGACTGCTGCTTATCAGTCTAGTTCATTGCATCTTAATGCCATCGGAATATCTGATTCTTTTCTCGGTTGTGCAGAAGTGCCTGTAATGACCCTCCTCAGAATTATCAAAGTATTTTTCTCTAAATTAAAGATCTGACTCATCTTTCTGCGCCTTAAAACAGCAGTCATCGCTGTAAGCTTCTCCAATATTGAACGTAATTGTCTTCCAAACTGACTGAAAATCATGCATGCTGAAAGTCACCCACTGCACACTGTTCTGAACCTTCAAATTAAGCTTTGAGCTGCTTAAAATAACAGTCGTCTTTGGAGCAAATGTGTAAATTCTGCAAATGTCAATGTGCAAGCATGACTCACAGTAAACAGCTATTTTAATATGCCTTGAATAGAGAACAAAACCAGGTTCATACAATCTGCTATGGAGCCTTTTATGCTTCAAAATACAGATCAATAGCTCGTGCATGTCCTCATTCTCCTATTGCTGGGATGGCTGATAACCCTCCTCTGGTCCTGATTTCATAATGCAAAACACATGACACCGGCATTGTGAGCAGCTGCTGTAACACAATGCAACAGAATGGCAAGGAAGAGAGAGCCCATTAATCTCCCCCCACAGTCTGTAAATGGCAACCTAGAAAGCAGACACCTCTGCACACGTGCCATTGTCACTTTATTCCATGCATAACCTGCTGAGATATGAATTTGCTCTGCAGTGGGCTTCCTGCCTGCAGTAGCATTGCTGAACACGGAAGTGTTGGCAATAATGCATGATAATGATAATGACTATCCTGCCTGATTTCATTAAGCCAACACATGACAGTGAGTGCTCTAAGCTGCTGCTGTAACATCCTGCAACACACTGACAAGCTAAAGACCTGATCGTTAACACTTGCGACACGCGGCTCGTAAAAGGCATCTAAAAACATAAAAACTAGGATTTCAAATCCAATTAAGCTCAAGAGTGTCAGCTCTGCGAAGAAATACATCGTTAACCTCTGTTTCCAAGTTGAACTCTACCAGATGAACAGCTTTAATCGAACAGAATTTCAATTTACCCACACAGACAAAACCACGGGGTTCATCTTATTCCCACTACACAGGAACAGTGAGTCGTGCCCCTGAGCTAGCTGCTTGTGCTTTTATTTTTGGAGAACAGAATGCTCATATGTGACGTATACAGTATGTTTTCCTTGCTCGTGGACATTGTAGGCATCTGTCAGAGTGTGGACCAAAGCCAAGACCTTGTGACAACTTTCATTTCTCATCTTTCAGGATGATTTCAGCGGACAGCGACGAGGGAAGTGGTACTATCTCTTCCAGCGTTTTAGGAGCACATGCACAGAGAGTCCTCGGGCTCAGTCAGAGTAAAAAGGGTGTATACTGTAGATGCAGCTGGTACTCTGTGTTTTCTTCCAGCACTGGAAGCTGCAGCAGCACTCACTGCACGCCCTGATGTAGCAACACGGCCGGTCAGTGCCTACACCTTCCCCTGGGGATGTTTCTAAAGGTATTATGCGGATAAAGCCGAGCTATATGAGAGAGGTTCACTTCACTTCACTTTAAGCATATTGACATCCAACCCCACCTTAATCTAATAGACTTACAACCTCCACACAGGCATCTTGCACCCTTGTTTCTCCTCATCTGTTGGCCTCTGAGTGATAGACACATATTTCTGTAGGCCAGACGCTGACCTCTCTGGACTCGGGGCGCCGCCGAGAGTAGAGTGCAACAAACTTCCTACAAATGCTGAGCTGAATCAGAAGAGGCTGAGCTTTCTGAGTTAACCTGAAACTGATGAGAGCTGCTAAAAAAAAAAACACATAATTGCCAGTGTTCACTCACAGCGCCCATGAGATCATTATCATGCTGCATCAGTGCTTCCCTATCCCTTTTATCATCTCCAAACCTGCTTAGCTGATTGTCTAAAATAGGATGATGTGCTGCTGCCCCTCTATTCCACACACACACACACACACACACATATACGCACAGTGTGCAGGAACACCGCTGAGGCCTCTGCTCCTCGTAAAAAACAAAATAATCACCTCAATATATGCTTTTAAACTCCGCTCACAGGGACACTAACAAGTTCCCTTCATAATTCAAGCTCTGTGGCTCCACAGTAAAAACGTCCACTCTCGCTCTCTGCAATCAGAGCAATCTACCGATCTGATGGGAGGATTTCAGTGCTGCTGCTGCTGCTAATTTATGAAGAGCCTCGGTGTCTGCTTCATGCTGATGCAGACACGCCCGGGCCATTTCCAACATGCACTCCTTCCCTCTGGTCCCTGGGAATTTAAGCCATGTGTCATACGTCTGAGCGTCTTCATTGCAACAGTAAAAGGAGGCACAGAGGCGGCTACAGTCATCAGGGCTGTTTTCAGGGCCCATCAGACTGCATCTAACAGCACTAACACTATCAATAAGTGCCTCCACCACGTGAGGAGGGAAGATCTCAAGAAGGCTGAAAACATCTCAGCTAGACAGATATCATATTATCCAGCAGACTAGAGGGAATGGCTGCCTTTAAAGTAGAGCAAAGATTTGCACATTATGCAAGACAGAAGGAATCAAGATAGATAGATAGATAGATAGATAGATAGATAGATAGATAGATAGATAGATAGGCCTGCATTATGATCTATCTATCTATCTATCTATTATTCTTCATTTTTGCACATTGTATGCGCCACATCACAGATCACAGCATTTATCCACACATGCGCCAGGAGGGCAAAGTCCATTGCACATTTCAGCACCAAGTCAACCAAGTGACTTACCAAAAGTAGGACTAATAAAGCAGATGCCGACAGCTCGATCCTATTGCACATCATTTCCGCCGTCCACGCGCGTGTCTCGCTGGTTAAAATTCACGCCGAGTCTCAGACGGAGTTCATTTATTCCAAATTGACGCGCAAGAAAAGCTGTATCATTACATGGATCTGGTGGGGGGGTTAGTGTTGTTGAAGATAAATGTAAAAAAAATCCAAGGGACGTGATGGGCGACAATCTGCCGCTGAATTGAAGTGTCATCAACAACAGACAGTGGGATATCTTCCAGTTACCTGCATCACGATATGATCAAACCCCACCTTAAATCCCAGTACGATCCGATTGAGACGTAAAAGGCAGAAAACGTGAAGCTGAAAATCCCCCCCACACCTCCGAAATAGAAAAGAAAAATCCAAAAAAAAAAGAGCTGAGGAGAGTCCGGGGGCTTGCTTGAAGCGTCCGAGCCGCGTTCAAAGGGGGTTAAAGCGTCAATACGCGACGCATCAAGTCTCCCCACCTCCGCGTTAAGGGTTTAGAAGAGGAAGAATGGGGTAGGTTAAATTCCCTGTAAGGCTCCTTATGAATCGCAGTGCTGCTGCTGCTGCTGGTGCTGGTGTCAGGACGGAGGAGAAAACTGCAGTCCGGCTGCTGCGATGGGTCTGCGCGCTTTCCAAAATAAAAGCCTCTGACGGTTGAAGGTTGTGGCGTCAGTTTCAGGCTGCAAGTCCGTCAAAAAAAAAAAAATCGCGAAGGTCGATCAAACTCCGCACCAGTTTTCTTGAACACTACAGCGCCTGTTTTCCTGTAACTTCCCTCTGTGTGAAGCGCAATGAAGGAATCCCACCCATGCGCCGATAGCCCGTTTCTTCCTCTCTTTCTTCTCTAATAGTGTGCGTACCCATGCGAGCAATTAGTTTTCATACATGGCTTGGTCCGTCCACTCCTTCCACAGAGCAAATGCAGGCAGGAAATCTTCCTCGCTGTGTCCGTTCAGCTCACTTCCACTCCTCATGCGTGCAGGCGTCCACCTGCGTAATAACAGCCCGATAGAAATGAATACATGTTGTCACGCCATGATGTCTGGTGCCACAGCCAAGTGACCAGTGCACGGACACGTTTCTTTTTTGGCAGTCAGAGGAATCGACTGACACCTCTCATGGAGTGTGCAGCACTGCAGCAACGTGATGTCGTTATGGGGAAAAGCCGAGAGTCTCTCTCTGTTAGGGTAAGGGTTTGAGCTTAATGCAAAAAAGGAGGCGCTGTGAGGTGTTATGATACCCCGGGATGGGCTGGTGGGGCTCGTGGTCCTGCACAAAGATGCTGCAAAGGAGGGGAGGGAGGAGGGAGGGATGGAGGGAGGAGGGGATGTTGGGTCACTGCTGCGCTTTACAAAAAAAAAATCACATTTATTTTTCTTGGCAATGTTAAACTCTCCTTTTGTCTCTTTATCCTTCTCAATCTCCCTCATAAAAAAGCACAGCACAAACAAGAACTTGACCACCCACATGCCTCACAATACGCCTCCTGCTTTACTTTTTCCTGCAGGACAAGAAGCGCTCCTCTTGGCTCGGATCAATGGAAACAGGATATCCAGCATCTTGAAAAATAAACATGAATATCTTCCCACCCGGAAGGAGGGAAAAAAACAATGTGTAATCCTCTCAGAGTTGCAGAAGAAAGCCAGAGACAGCCTCAACCCTCATTATAATGTGCCTCTTAGAAGAGGATAACATGTTTTCAGTTGGGCTTTTTTTTCTGCGCCTTCATTCCCCAAGTGTATTGTGTGTCTGCTTGAATGGAGGCCACAGGACATGTGATGAGAAAAGGAATTCTGGTTGACTTGACAAATCCTGTCAAATCCGATTGATTTGACTGCAGGGGCTCCACATACATCGCACTGCATTGTAGGTCTGCACAAGCGATCGTGCTTTAGTCATGAACAGGTTTTTTTTTAGCCTTCACACAATCAATTGCCTTCGATTATCGACTAAGAGTGCGGGAAAAACATGCAGCAGAGCAGACAGAGAGCAAGAGGATCAGGTGTGTTAGTGAAGCAGAGGGTCAGAGCGAGCATAGACAGAGTAGCTGTAGTAAAAGCGAGTATTAAATCTGGCTTAATGGAGGGTGATCTAGATAAGTGATTCTCAACTGGTCTCGCTCTGGGACCCACATTTCCCCATGGTCCTTCAGTCGCTACAGACTTATAAAAAAGACTTATAAAATTTAAACAAGCAAATTTATTTCTTATAAAAAACACCTATTTTATAAAGTAAAGAGCATTTCAGAGCACATGAACTGAGGACGACAACTACTGAAGTTGCAAAAAGAAAATATCAAATACCAAATTGCACACAATGGAGACCAGCGAAATGAAAAATTAGACTTATTTGGATCCCTGCATTCAGAGCATATTCAAAAGAACCCTGAGGAGGACCATCCAACAGCATGAACAAAAGGGAATAAATATCAAATTGCACAAAATAAAGACCGTAAAAAAACGTGTAATTTTACTGCATTCAGGCCACATTAATAAGAAACCGATAAATAAGCTATTTTTCAAAATAAAAGACATGTCAAACATCAGATGCACATTAAATATTTAATATTATATTATATTATATTATATGGCGACCCATTCAGAACCCACTTTTGGGTGGGGACCCACCAGTTAATAACCACTCATCACGGATCATTTTGAGCCAACTCTTCAACTCTATCATCATAGAAATAAAGTCCAAATTCTTGAAAAGTAGAGCTTTCACATTTTTGATGCAATTTGAGCAAATGTTCAGTCATTGTGAGCCAAAAACGTTTCCTGCGTCGCTGCGTTTGATTGGCCAGCCAACTCATCTGACCCCAACCCCACAGAGACCCTCTGGGGTATCTTCAAGAGAAAGGCGAGCGACACCAGAGCCATGGAGAGCTGAAGGTCACTATCAAAGCCACCTGGGCTTCATAACACCCCAGCTGAGCCACTTACTGATTGCCTCCATGCCACGTCGCACTGATGCAGTAATGGGATCAAAAGGAGCCCAGACCAAGTACTGAGAGCATACATGGGGATCATTTTCTAGAGGTTTGACAGTCTTGTGTCATAAATCCTCTTTTAATATTCTAATAATTTTTAGACAGTGGATTTTTGATTTTGGTGCAAATGTTCTCTTTGAATGTAGAATATACCGAAGTTTCACTTTTTGAATTAAATTGGAGGAAAAAAATGAACTTTTTCAGGACATAGTCATTTTTTGACTTCACCTTCGGGTTAATAAATGATTGGGGTGAATAATCAGGATGTCAGCATTGATCACAGTAATCATGATTCTCCCTCTGGCTGTAATTGTGCGGCCCTATTGTATCGTATATGAGATGACTGATATGAGATTTGCAGATAGCACTAAGTCTGAATTTCCCTTCGGAGTACCTTTGGTTTGAATATACTACGCCTGCCATGAGCTGAATTAATTAGCTGTGAAAAAGGTACCTTGTCATCGCAGCCAACTTAAGATGCAATGATATATCACAGATAATAGAGCATAAATGTGAGACTATAACAACGTTGGATAACTAAGAAGTAAAAGTACCATAAATAGTAGGGTAACTGTTCATCACAAAGCACCACAGGCACACTGAACAGGAAAAAAAGTGTATCCGTTTATCTCCATGAGGGCTTTTTTCCTAAGATGATGCTTAAATATGTCCTCTTAGCGTTCCCATCATCTCCGTTTCACTGCTCCAACATGACAGGTGTCACAATTATCTGTTGTTCAACTCTTTGTAGGAGGGCATCAGCCTGTTATAATTAAAGGGCAGTTCATAATGGGTGGAGCACCTCCAGGGCGTTTTAAATGGATCTGTGAAATATGACGCAAACTCATTTCAGGGTGCTCGCTCGCTCGTTCGCTCTCTCTTTCAAAGGGCAACATTTCTATCAAAGCCTCCCTGCTTGACCCAACAGATATTCACCCGCATAGTTATCTCTAAATGGGCTGAAACTAGTTTTGTGCCTTTTTGAACAAGAACAGATCCTGCAAAATTTTTCATTACCCTGCAGAACGTGCTGCGAGAGTTTAACTTTCATTCGGCGGTTTCGCTCTGAGCTCGATCTGAATGAGCATGTGTGTTCGTGAGGGGAGTGAGGGCAGAGCGGGCATGGAGAGAATACTGATGGAATTTGAGGAGAAAAAAAGAGGAGGCATGGAGGAAGCCAATCTGCTATTTATATCAGGCTGCACTCCACGGGGGCGAGGCTCCCTCTCGCAGTAATGCACTGTAAAAGTGATTGATTAGTGTGATATTGAGAGATTGTCCGACTTAACTGTCTTCACTCGGCCAAAGTGATGAAATTACCGCACACTGGTCTATGAAAGCATAATAGCAGATTAGGTCAGTGTGCTCCATCCACTCTAATAAGGAAACTTGCCATTCCCCCGAAGTGCAAAACATAAGGGGGCGGTCTGCAATCGGGTCCAGTACACACCAGCAAGACACCCATACCCTCAAAGTGCGCGTGCTAAATGACCTGGAACAGATTGCGTGGCGGAGTTGCTTAATTTAGCTCTTTGTATGTGTCCACACCTTCAAAAAAAGCTATTTTTGACGCAACACAGCCGCTCTTGTCGCTCCTTTTTAACAAACTGCTCGGGTCAATTTCCATTAGGGGCCAGAGCAAATTCCCAATGCCTTCTCCATGGCTGCGCCCAAAGGAGCAGTAATGTGATGCTCCATCAGGTCAATGCGCCGCTGAATGCTCTTGCATGTCTGTGCATGCATGTGTGCGTGAGTGTGGGCAATCTGAGATGGGATTTGCAGTGGCAGAGACAATAAAAAGGTGTCTTCAGGAACGGCAGCATCATTACAGTGTGTACAGCTGTCTTCTTCATATCGGTGAATCACCCTGTGCATTAGCTCTCTCTCTCTCACTCACTCTCTCGCTCTCTTACTCTCTCCTGGTACAAAAGTTCTCTCTAATGTGCTTTAAACTCTCCATGTTGCCATGGTATGCTGGATGTGATTTCACACCGCGAGGATCTCTAATTGGCTTACCAGCTGTGTTTTTTTTTATTTTTTCATAATACAGTGGGATAACAGACATGTGAAGGACGCCGTGTGTACCAGCAGAGGTCAACCCATACGGGGATCATATGTACCCACGTAAACATGTGCGTCTTTGATTTACTCCAGTAGTTTTTACATCTGTACGATCAAGAGATAATAATGACAAACTAAAAAGGAGAATCCTTCCTGTGTTTCTGCTCGGCATGAATGATAGGTCATGCTCATGCTACCTGCAGTGTCGCACGGATGACTCAGATGTTACGCATTATTCCACTCCTACAACTTATTTGGAGTGGGTGCAGTCGTGCTTTCATGTTTCATATGTAGTGTATCACAGCCTTGGCCCGCTTTAGCGTCTAATAAAGCAAGTGCTACTTCGCCGCATTTGAGGGCTCTTCGATGTGTCCTTGTAAAGGGGGAATCTCAAAGATAGACGTGGGCCATCTGGGAAAGTGTGAGGTACAGCTCACTCACAAGTGCGTTTGTCTTCATGCCTTGAGTTGTAAAAAAAAGGACGCTGCTGCTCTTTAGGAACACAAAAAAGAAAAAGGAAAGAGAAGGACCAACATGTTTCAACTGCAAAAGCTTTTAAAATGACATGTCTGGTTACAAAACAGGCATTCCTTCAAAACTCTACAGATGATATCACAGAGTGTAATTACAGATCTGACTCTGTACTGAATGAAAATAGCAGGACAAAATGTTTAAATATCAGGTCACACATTTATTCATCTGGGGCGAGAACTTTAAAAGAGGAAAAGATCCAAAAGGTCCCTCTCTTTCCCTTTTAATGAAATTTAAATCTCCTCCTCCTGCTCTAAGTGACACCTTCTCAATGGCAATAAAACAGAACATCTGACCCCTTTAGAGTGGCTTTCTACACATTTTTTGACATCCTCTCTCCTAATGGGGCTTCTGCTCTCAGAAAATTCAGTTATTCAAGGAGCACTCTGTTTCACTTTCCATGGTGGCATGAAAGCATCCATCACATCTGTTGTTTTACAGTTAATGAGTCTCTGCATGCCCTCGCAGCGTAAGACAAGTGCCCTGTTTTTCTTGTATATGGTCAATTACAGCTATAAAGCATCTTATAAATGTGCTGGAAAATTCTCTGTGAGCTGCAAATGTTCATGTAACCCTGATGGAGGCTAAAACTGAGGGATTTTGACATCAAAGCTGTGTCTGTTGTTCTTCAAGAGCAGCTAGAGGGTTGATCTTGATCTTTGGAGGAGCTGAAGGTCGTGATAGATGCGCTTTGAACATTAAGATAGATGTCACATCTTACAAACTGTTGACAGCAGAAAAAACATTTGAAAAGTAAACTCAGTCGTAAAATACCACTCTTACATGCTCTGTGTAAGACATCCTGTCAAGTGCGGCCTGTAAATTCAAGATCTTTTCATACATTTCATTAATACTAACTTCAATATCACAGCAAATTCTTCATTAAGTCTTAACAAAAGTACTGATTGAGCTGTCAATAGACAGCCACATCAATTGTTAAACGTAAGTGTCAGAAGAGTAAAAGAGAG